ATGATATATATAATGTGATATGATCATATATATATCATATATAATATAAATGATTTCACTCCTTTGGAGTATGTTGAGAGTGCTTTATTTTATAGCCCAGCATATGGTCAGTTTTTATAAATGTTCTGTATGAATGAAAAAGGAACGTGTGGGGCCCCTGGGTGGCCCAGGCGGTTAAGTGTCTGCCTTCGGCTCAGGTCATGATCCCAGGGTCCAGGGATCGAGCCCCATGTTGGGCTCCCTGCTCAGTGGGGAGTCTGCTTCTCCCTCTGCGCCTCCCCCTGCTCGTGCTTTCTCTTTCTCTCTCATTCTCTCTTGCTCTGACTCTCTCTCAAATAAATAAAATCTTTAAAAAAAAATAAAATGTAACCGTCAGTCACACTCTCCAGTAATTCCCACCTGACCACTTGTATTTCCACACTTTACACATACACATATAGCTGTTTATGTTGTTGTTTCTGTTGTGCTCACACAGATCATATTGAAATTGCTGTTTTAGGGCGCCTGGGTGGCTCAGATGGTTAAGCGTCTGCCTTTGGCTCAGGTCATGATCCCAGGGTCCTGGGATCGAGTCCCGCGTCGGGCTCTCTGCTCCTTGGGAGCCTGCTTCTCCCTCTGCCTCGCTCTCTCTCTGTCTCTTATGAATAAATAAATAAAATCTTTAAAAAAAAAAAAGAAATTGCTGTTTTACTGCCTGCCTTTGTCAGTCAGTGGTTATCACCTAGCACTATCTAGTTTCCTCTGTGCTGTAGCTGTCTTATGTCTATGCTAGAGCAGCATTACATCTACAGACATCAGAAATGCAATGATACGGGGCACGTGGGTGGCTCAGTCGGTTAAGCAGCTGCCTTCGGCTCAGGTCATGGTTCCAGGGTCCTGGGATCGAGCCCCACATCGGGCTCCCTGCTCGGCGGGAAGCCTGCTTCTCCCTCTCCAACTCCCCCTGCTTGTGTTCCCTCTCTCGCTGTCTCTGTCAATTAAATAAATAAATAAAATCTTCAAAAAAAAAAAAAAGAAATGCAATGATAGGATTCTTCTTCCAGCCGTCAAATGGGTTCTAAAGAACTCGAGAGGAAAAGATGGTCTATTGTATTGATATTACCGTTTCTTTTACTCTTATTTCATTCCTGATGCCCCAGATATTTTTTTTTTTTTTTCACTTTGTTCTAGAGAACTTTCTTTATCAGGTCTTTTACTTTTTTTTTTTTTTAGAGAGAGAGGCGGGGAGGGGCAGAGGGAGAGGGAGAGAGACAGAGAGAGAATCTTAAGCAGGCTCCAGAGCCTGACCCAGGCTCAGTCTCACGACTCTGAGATCATGACCTGAGACAAAATCAAGAGTGGGACGCTTAACTGACTGAGCCACCCTTGCTCCCCTTTATCAGGTCTTTTAGACTCAGTCTGCTGGGGACAAATTCTTGTAGTTTTCTGTCATTTAAAAATGTCTTTATCTCGTCTTTATTTTGGATTCATATTTTATCAGGATAGAGAATTCATGGCTGGATTTTTCTTTTGGTACTTTAAAACATTGTGCTACTTCCTTCTCATTGAAACCTGTAGTCATGGAATCGTTGTTCAGGAATTGTATAGGCAATGTGCCATGGTGGTGGTTTTTAGGTGTTTTCAAGTAAATTTTCATTTGTTGTTTGTTTTTAGCAGTTGATTATGATAAGTTCAGGTGTGGAATTTTGTTAGGGGCTCTGAGATTTTTGAGTCTGTAGGTTTATGAATTTTGCCACATTTGGGAAGGTTTTTGCCCTTTTTTCTGCAGTATTTTTTCAGCTGTGCACACTTTTCCTCTCCTGGGACTCTGGCAATATGAATGTCAGGACTTTTAGCATTGTCCTCCTGCTCCTTGTTGCTGTGCTTCTTTGGTTTTTATTCTTTTTTCTTTCTCTTGTTCAGATTGGATGAATCTTTTGTTCTATCTTAAGTTTATTGATTCTTTCCTCTGCCTTTTCCATTGTGCTACGGGACCCCACAATATTTTAATTTTAATTATTATAGTTTTCAGTTCTAAGTTTTACTTGGTTCTTCTTTATATCCTCTGTATATTTCTCTTTCTCTTTTTTAAAGTATAATTAACATACAGTGTTGTATTAGCTTCAGGTGTACAATATAGTGATGCCACAATGCTGTACATCACCCAGCACATCACAGTAAGTGTACTCTTGATCCTCTTCACCTGTTTCACCCATCTCCCCACCCACACCTCCCCTCTGGTAACCACCAGTTTGTTCTCTGTATTTAAGAGTCTGGTTTTTTGTTTGGCTCTTTTCTTCTCTGTTCATTGTTTTGTCTCTTAAATTCCACATACGAATGAAATCATATGATATTTGTTTGTGATATGATCATATATATATCATATATAATATAAATGATTTCACTCCTTTGGAGTATGTTGAGAGTGCTTTATTTTATAGAAATTATTTATAGAAATAAGAAGGACTTATTGCACTTAGCATTATACCCTCTAGCTCCATCCATGTTGTTGCAAATGGCAGGATTGCACTCTTTCTTATGGTAGAGTAATATTCCAGGGTATCTAGGGACGCCTGAGTGGCTCAGTTGTTAAGCTTTGCCTTTGGCTCCGGTCATGATCTCAGGGTCCTGGGATTGAGCCCCTCATCAGACTCCCTGCTCAGCGGAGAGCCTGCTTCTTCCTCTCCCCCTCCATTTGTGCTCTCTCTCGCACTCTCTCTCTCAAATCTTTAAAAAAAAAACAGTCCAGTGTATCTATAAACCACATCTTCTTTACCCATTCATCTGTGGATGGGCACTTGGGTTGCTTCCATGTTTTGGCTATTGTAAATAGCACTACGGTAAACATAGGGGAGCATATATCTTTTCAAGCTAGTGTTTTCATATTCTTTGGGTAAATACCCAGTAGTGGAATTGCTGGACCCTATGGTAATTCTATTTTTAATTTTTTGAGGAACCTCCATACTGTTTTCCACAGTAGCTGCACCAATTTGTGCACGAGGGTCCCTTTTTGTTCACATCCTCGCCAACACTTGTTATTTCTTGTGTTTTTTTATTTCGGCCTTGATAACAGGTGTAAGGTGATACCTCATTGTGGTTTTGATTTACGTTTTTCTGATGAGAGTGAGGTTGAGCATCTTTTCATGTGTCTGTTGGCCATCTGTGTATCTTCTTGGGAATAATGTCTATTCAGGTACTCTGCCCACTCTTTAATTGCATTATTTGTCTTTTTGGTGTTGAGTCATATAAGTTCTTTATGTATTTTGGATATTAGCCCCATATCAGATATATCATTTGCAAATACGTTTCTAGGAATTTATTTCTTCTAGGTTTTCCATTTGTTGGCATATAATTTTTCATAGTATTCTTTTATACTTCTGTGGTGTTCGGTGTTATGTCTCCTCCTTTATTTCTGATTTTATTTATTGGAGCCCTGTCTCTTGTTTTTCTGGATGAGTCTGGCTAAAGGTTTATCAATTTTGTTTCAAAGAACCAGCTCCTGGTTTCATTGATCATTAGTCTCTATTTCATTTATTTCTGTTCTAATCTTTATTATTTCCTTCTTTCTGCTGGCTTTGGGTTTTGTTGGTTCTTCTTTTTCTGGCTCCTTTAGGTTTAAGGTTAGGTGGTTTATTTGAGATTTTTCTTTTTTCTGGAGGTAGGCCTGTATTGCTATTATCTTGCCTCTTAGAACAGCTTTTACTCCATCCCAAAGATTTTGGACCATTGTGTTTTCATTTTCATTTGTCTCCATGTATTTTTTATTTCCTCTTTGATTTCTTAGTTGACCCATTCATTGTTTAGTAGCATGTTATTTAGCCTCCATGTATTTATGTTCTTCCCAAATTTTTTCTTGCACTTGATTTCCAGTTTCATACCATTGCAGTCTGAAAAGATGCATGTGATTTCAGTTTTTTTGTATTGAGATTTGTTTTGTGGCCTAACATGTGATCTGTTCTGGAGAATGTTCCATGTGCACTTGAATGTGTATTCTGCAGTAGTTGGATGGAATGTTCTGAATATATCTGTTAGGTCCATCTGGTCCAATGTGTCATTCAAAGCCACTGTTTCCTTGGGTTGATTTTCTGCCTGAATGATCTATCCATTGATTTAATGGGGTGTTAACGTCCCCTTCTATTATTCTATTACTGTCAGTTTCTTCCTTTATGTCTGTTAATAGTGGCTTTATGTATTTAGGTGTTCCTATGCTGGGTGCATAAATATTTACAGTTGTTAAATCCTGTTGTTGGATTGTTCCCTTTATCATTATGTAATGTCATTCTTTGTTTCTTGTTACAAACTTTATGTTAAAGTGTATTTTGTCCAATATAAGTATTGCTACCACAGCTTTCTTTTCACTTCTGTTTGCATGGTAGATGTTTTCCATCCCTTCACTTTCAGTCTGCATGTGTCTTTATGCCTTATGTGTTTCTTGTAACAGCATATAGATGGATCTTGCTTCCTTATCCATTCAGTCATCATAGTCTTCTGATGGGAGCATTTAGGCCATTTACATTTAAAGTAATTATTGATAGATATGTACTTATTGCCATTTTGTTACTTGTTTTATGGTTGTTTTTGTAGTTCTCTGTTCCTTTCTTCTTCTCTTCCTCTCTTCCCTTGTGGTTTGATGGCTTTCTTTAGTGTTATGCTTGGATTCCTTTCTCTTTATTTTTTTGTGTATCATAGGTTTTTGATTTGTGATTACCGTTAGGTTTATATATAACATCTTATGTATATAGCAATGTATATTAAGTTGGTGGTTGCTAAAATTTGAATCCATTCTAAAAGAACTAAATTTTTACTCCCCCCATTCCATTTTATGCATATGATGTCATACTTTACATCGTTTTATTTTGTGACTCCCTTAGCTGATTTTTTATAGATACAATTGATTTTACTACTTTTGTGCTTTAACCTCCATACTGGTTTTATAAGTGATTAATCTACTACTTTTATTATATGTTTGCATTTACCTGTGAAATTTTTTCCTATCATAATTTTCTTACTCCTGATTATGGCCTTTTCTTTCCATTCAAAGAATTCCCTTTAACGTTTCCTGTAAGGCTGGTTTAAGTGATGAACTCCTTTAACTTCTGTTTGTATGAGAGACTATCTCTCCTATTCTGAATGATAGTCTTGCTGGGTAGAGTATTCTTGGTTGCAGGTTTTCCTTCCAGTACTTTGAATATATCATGCCGTTCCATTCTGGCTGCAATGTTTCTGCTGAAAAAATCAACAGAATAGCCTTAGAGAGTGTCTCTTGTATATAACTTTTCTTTTCTCTTGCTGCTTTTAAAATTCTCTATCATTACTTTTTGCCATTTTAATTACCATGTGTGTTGGTGTGGACCTTGTTTGGTTAATTTTATTGGGGGCTCTCTGTGCTTCCTGGATCTAGATGTCTGTTTCCTTCTCCAGATAGGGAAGTTTTCAGCTATTATTTCTTTTTTTTTTTTTTAAGATTTTATTTATTTATTTGACAGAGAGAGAGCTTGTGCACAAGTAGGCAGAGTGGCAGGCAGAGGGAGAGGGAGAAGCAGGCTCCTTGCTGAGCAGGGAGCCCAATGCAGGGCTTGATCCCAGGACCCTGGGATCATGACCTGAGCCAAAGGCAGACATTTAACTGACTGAGCCAACCAGGTACCCCTCAGCTATTATTTCTTCAAGTAAATGTTCTGCCCCATTTTTCTCTCTTCTCCTTCTGGGATCCCTATAATGCAAATGTTATTATACTTGATGTTGAAAACTCAGCAACATTTATTATTAATCTATTCTCATTTTTGATATTATTTTTATTTTTGCGTTCAACTTGATTGCTTTTCATTAGCCTACCTTCCAGGTCCCTGATCCATTCTTCTGCTTCCTCTAATCTGCTATTGATTCCCTCTGGTGTATTTTTATTTGTCATTTAGTTTTTCATTTCTGATTAGTTCTTTTTAATATTTACTGTTTGTTTTTGAAGGTCTCACTAAGATCATCCACTCTTTTCTCAAGTCCAGTGAGTATCTTTATGATTATTGCTTTGAATTCTTTATCAGGTACATTGCTTATCTCTGTTTCATTTAGCCCTTTTGCTGTGATTTTGTCCTGTTCTTTGGTTTGGGACATTTTCCTCTGTCTTCTCATTTTATACAACTGTATTTGTTTCTGTGTATTAGGAAAGTCAGTTACAGCTCTTGATCTTGAAAGTAGTGACCTCAGCACACCTGGGTGGCTCAGTCGGTTAAGCATCTGCCTTTATGGCTCAGGTCATGATCCCAGGGTCCTGGGATCAGGCCTCATATCAGGCTCCCTGCTCAGCAGGGAGTCTGCTTCTCCCTCTCCTTCTGCTGCTCCCCCTGCTTGTGCTCGCTCTCTCTGTCAAATAAATTAGTTAAATATTTAAAAAAAGAAAGAAAGAAAGTAGTGACCTTATGAAGGTCCTATGGTGCCCTGGGGTACAGTGTCTGTCATTCACCAGAACCAGGTGCTTCAGGGGTGTCTCCTATGTGGGTTGCCTGTGCTCTGCTGTTGTGGCAGAACCCCTTTTGCCTTCAGCCCATTGGCTTCAATGGCCCACTTTGCCTGTTCTGGGCAAGGTTTGGTCTCTGTTGTTAAGGGGTCTGTCAGGGGCCACTGGGGGCTTGCAGTTCGGTGGTGTCAGCAGTCAGACTAGATGCCTGCTCTCAGCCTGTCTGCTGGGGCTGTAGTTGTACCAGCTTGATTTGTGCAATATATTAGCACATTAGATGTTATATATGTGTATATATATACATATATATGTATATATGTATATATATATTAACATTAGATGTTATATATGAACCTAACGGTAACCACAGATCAAGGCACAAGGCACTCTCCCTGCCTTGCCCTCTGAGAGGGGCAGGTCCCCTTGTTCACTGGTGGGCAGGGCTGGCAGTCAAAGTGCCTACTCCTAATCCATCTGCCAGGGCTGAAGTTGCACTGATCAGCAGGGTACTCTCTGTGCTGCTAACTATAAGGTTCAGTTGCTGGAACTGTGGGCACACCGGTGTGTGTGGTTATCCTTCCCCTCTCCACAAAGCAAGTCACTTTGGAGTGGCACTGGTCCCGACTAGTGCTGCTTGCATGGTGTGTTGGGGCTGGAGCCCCTTTGGAATGGGGTGGGTTTTATGGGGCAGATCCTCAGGAGAATGTGAAGGTGGGGCATGCAGTGCTAGCAAGGTAGGTGCTGTGTGTTTGCACTGGTTCCCTAAAGCTTCCAGCTATCTAGGCAGCGGTTGGGGGTGGACAGGGAATGGTTCCACCAGCTTTTTTGTTCTTGGGGAAGTTTCCTAAAGATTCCCGTCCCTCCAGCACACATTCTGAGATTAGTAAATAAATGTTCTTCACGTTGTACCCCTAGGCGCTTTTCAAACTGCTGCTTCTCTACTGTTATCTCAGCAGGTTGGTTGTTATGCTGGCTCCTAAAGGAGAGGGACTCCAGTTTCCTGTCACCCTCTGGCTCTCCCAGAACTAAGCCTGCTGAAGTACCCAGAGTTAAGCCCTACTGGTTTTCAAAACCAAATGTAATGGGACTCATCTTCCCAGTGTGGGTCCCCCATACCTGGGGTGCCTGGTGTGGAATCTGATCCTCTTGCTTCTTTGTGTTTGTGGTGTCCCTCCTGTTTGTGGTTATTCTTACTGGGGGTTTCGTTCCCAACTGCATCTCCACCCCACTCTCTGCGATTACCTGTGGGAAGTCTGTTCTGCCATTCTCAGGTCATTTCCATAGTTACACTGATGTGGCTGTTATCTTGGTGTGTCTGCGGGAGGAGGTGAGCCCAGGATCCTTCTACTCCACCATCTTTTCAGAACTCTCCCTATATCCTCTATATTTTTGTTGAGATTCTCTATTTTTCCATTTGTTTCAAGAGTATTTGTGTTTGCTTATTGAAACATTTGCACAATTATGGTTTTAAAGTCTTTGTCAGGTAATGCAAACATCTGTCATCTCAGTGTTGATATCTGTTGAATTTCTTTAACTTTGTGATATATTTCAGCAGGCAGTCAACCTAGTGAAGGTTCAAGCTTCAAGTTTCTACCTGTTTTCTGTGGTTTGTTTTCCCATTGTGACATATACATGACCAGTTGGGCTCAGATATTCGTTCCCATTTGAAACAAGTAATATGAGAATGGTTCTATTTATCAATTTTAGTAGTTTTGAATGAATGATTATTATGATAAGCTTTTCCCACTGCCTCATTTTTGCATTATATATGTTTATTCTCAGCCTTACTTCTTTTATCAATAGTTTTCCAATTACTTAACACCTATTGTGTGCTATGGGCTTATTATTTCAGTGGTGAATGCTATCAGGATTGTGTCTGCTCCTAGGCAGATTTAGGAATAAGAAAATACACAGAATGAGAAATGAGCTAATGAATGAATGAACGTATAATTAAAACAGAATTGTGAAGGCAAGGAGTGAGACTCTTGAATAGAGAATAAAGGAGAGGGATATAATTGGATGGGCCCAGCAGGTATGGCTGTTCTGAGGAAGACATTTCTTTTCAGTTTTAAAAATGAGAATGTTGTCTCCTACAAGCAGCTCAGGCCACAGGATTCTTGTGTAATAAAACAGTCTGACCAAAGCATGAAGATATTGAAGAAAGGTTATATCATGTTTGAAGTGCTAAAAGAAAGCAGTGTGGTAGAGCTAGGGTCCAAAGGATGACAGTGGCTTCATAGGTGGTCTTGTTATCCATGGTAAGGGTTTTGGATTTTAGTATAAGAGTAAAGACAAACCATTCAAAACAATTTTAAGTATGGATCTTTGAACTTTGATCTGCATCAGAATTATCTGATAGAGATGTTAAAAATACAGCATCTGATGACTTATTCCTAAAAATTCTGATTCTGTGCATCTGAGTTGCTTGAATATCAATATTTGTAACAAGCCTACCAAAGGATTTTGATTAACACCTAAATTTCACAAAGTTAATCTCCTCCCCTATTATGAGCATCACCATCTAACAAACTTTCTTCATTTTTGGAGCTCTTCTTATTCTTTTTCAAATTCTCTGAAAGTGTATTATATATACTTCAATATATATTTAAGAATTTTTTTTCTGTATGTATATTTTTAGAGTTATATATTCTTTAATGGATTTTGTACATGTGTGTACAGGAAGGTAAAATGTGTTTGCTTTCTCCTTTTCTTTCAGATTTGGAGTCAAATTATGGAGCTGAGAAGTTATCTCCAGAAAATGATATTCATGAAATAAATTTGCCTAAACAGAGTATAAAGCAAATAAGTAAAACTCTTGACCTTAAAACCTCCAATTTTAGAAATGACTCAAAATGCAGAAATAGATTTAGGGGACAACAGGGACATCAAGAGGGGTATATCAATCAAAAGATAATAAGCTATGAAAAAATGCATACTTCTACTCATCATACTTCTCTTACTCACACTACAGATAAGCCATATGAATGTAAGGAGTGTGGGAAGTACTTTAGTCGTGGTTCAAATCTTATTCAGCATCAGAGTATTCATACTGGAGAGAAACCCTATGAATGTAAGGAATGTGGGAAGGCCTTTAGACTCCTTGTCCAACTTACTCGACATCAGAAATTTCATAGTGGTGAGAAACCCTTTAAATGTAAGGAATGTGGGAAAGCTTTTAGTCTTCCTACCCAGCTTAATCGCCATGAGAATATTCATACAGGTGAGAGACCATTTGAGTGTAAGGAATGTGGGAGGTCCTTTAATCGTAGCTCAAACCTTGTTCAACATCAGAGTATTCATACAGGGATAAAACCATATGGATGTAAAGAGTGTGGGAAAGGCTTTAATCGTGGTTCAAATCTTGTTCAGCATCAGAAAATTCATTCTAGGGAGAAACCCTTTGAATGTAAGGAATGTGGGAAGACCTTTAAATATCATTACCAACTTATTGAACATTGTCGAATTCATACTGGTGAGGAACCCTTTGAATGTAAAGAATGTGGGAAGGCCTTTAGTCTTCTGATAGAGGTTGCACGACATCAGAACATTCATACTGGTGAGAAACCATTTAAATGTAAGGAATGTGGCAAGGCCTTCAGTCGTGGCTCGAATCTTGTTCAACATCAGAGTATTCATACCGGTGAGAAACCATATGGGTGTAAGGAATGTGGAAAGGCTTTTAGACTTCACCTACAACTTTCTCGGCATCAGAAGACTCATACTGGTGAGAAACCCTTTGAATGTAAGGAATGTGGGACAGCCTTCCAATATCAGTACCAACTTATGGAACATCAGCGAATTCATACAGGTGTGAAACCTTATGAATGTAAGGAATGTGGGAAAATGTTTCGTCGTGGTTCAAACCTTATTCAGCATCGGAGTGTTCATACTGGAAAAAAACCATTTGAATGTAAAGAATGTGGGAAGGCCTTTAGACTCCATATACAACTGATTCGACATCAGAAATTTCATACTGGTGAGAAGCCCTTTAAATGTAAGAAATGTGGGAAAGCCTTTAGTCTTCTCACCCAGCTTAATCGTCATGAGAATATTCATACAGGTGAGAAGCCATTTGAATGTAAAGAATGTGGGAAGTCCTTTAATCGTGTCTCAAACCTTGTTCAACATCAGAGTATTCATGCTGGCATGAAACCATACGAATGTAAAGAGTGTGGTAAAGGCTTTAATCGTGGTTCAAATCTTATTCAGCATCAGAAAATTCATTCTAGTGAGAAACCCTTTGAATGTAAGGAATGTGGGAAGGCTTTTAGGTATCATTACCGACTTATTGAACATCATAGAATGCATACTGGGGAGAAACCCTTTGAGTGTAAGGAATGTGGAAAGGCCTTTACTCTTCTGACACAGCTTACTCGACATCACAACATTCATACTGGTGAGAAACCATTTAAATGTAAGGAATGTGGCAAGGCCTTCAATCGTGGCTCAAATCTCATTCAACATCAGAGTATTCATACTGGTGAGAAACCCTATGGATGTAAAGAATGTGGAAAGGCTTTTAGACTTCACCTACAACTTTCTCGACATCAGAAAACTCATACTGGTGAGAAACCCTTTGAATGTAAGGAATGTGGGACAGCCTTCAGACATCAGTACCAACTTATGGAACATCAGCGAATTCATACAGGTGTGAAATCCTATGAATGTAAGGAATGTGGAAAGAGCTTTAGTCGTGGTACAGACCTTAGAGTACATCAGAGAATTCACACTGGTGAGAAACCCTTTGAATGTAAAGAATGTGGAAAGGCCTTTAGACATCACTACCAATTTCTTGGACATTACAGAATTCATACTGGTGAGAACCCCTATGAATGTAAGGAATGTGGGAAATGCTTTACTTGTGGTAGCGAACTTAGAGTACATCAGAGGATTCATACTGGTGAGAAACCATATCAATGTAAGGAGTGTGGGAAGGCCTTTAGTCGTAGCTCAAACCTTATTCAACATGTTAAAATTCATACTGGTGAGAAGCCCTATGAATGTAAGGAATGTGAAAAGGCCTTTAGCAATAATTATGAACTTACTGTACATCAGAGAATTCATACTGGTGAGAAACCTTATGAATGTAAGGAATGTGGGAAAACTTTTAGACTTAGTTCAGTCCTTACCGCTCATCTGAGAATTCATACAGGTATGAAACCCTATGAATGTAAAGAATGTGGAAAGACCTTTAGTTGTAGCTCAAACCTTATTCAGCATGAGAGGATTCATACTGGTGAGAAACCTTATGAATGTAAGGAATGTGGGAAGGCCTTTAGACTTAGGTCAGTTTTTATTGCCCATCAAAGAATTCATACAGGTCTGAAGCCCTATGAATGTAAAGAATGTGGGAAGGCCTTCACTGTGAATGGTCAGCTTACTCGGCATCAGAAAATTCATAATCGTCAGAAGTCCTATGAATATGAGGAATGTGGGAAGATCACTGGATATGAACAACTTAACATCAGAGAGTTCATAGTGGCAAGAAATTCTATGAATATAAAAAAATGTGGGAAGACCTTTCATCGTGGACTGAGATTTGCTCAACAGCACAGTATTCCTACTGGTGAGGAATTTTGAGTATGAGTGACGTGGAAAGATTTACAGTCACAGCAAACACCTTAGTGTTGAGAGGACATTCTTGTGAGAGAGTCTTTGAATGTAAAGAAATACAGAGTAGCCTTCATGTTCACAATTTACTAATCATGAAAGATATTTTCCTAGGTATGTTAATTTCATACACTTAGAAAAGCTTTCAAACTCAAACTGGAGGAAAACTGTTGTTGGAACAAATGTAACCTAACGTCTACCTGAGGCAGATGCTTTATCACCATTGCCATTTCACTACCTGTGTGACATTACGTGCCTATCTTCTTTGTGCATCATTTGTAAATGGCAACAAAAGTGAGTACATACTAATGCAATTACGGGAATAAAGGTGTTCTAGTACACACAAAATCCTTAAAAGAGTATTTGGCACATGCTTGTGTTCATAAAGAACAGCTTTTATGTTTCATTAGCATTGTTGATGACAGGAAAATTGCATTATTGTGAATAATTTAGAAAAACCTCATCCATTATTAAATTTTAAATAACTTGTTCTGTATAAGATTTCATGGGAAGTAAAGAATACAAGAGGATTTTCATTATGAGTTCATTCCTTAAGTTACATCAAAAAGTTAATTTTGGAAAGAAACCCTAGGGATTTAATGAGTGAGGAAATGTTCAAGAATCAGGGAGAGTTCATTTGAAGTGATTTGTCTGTAAAAATATCAACTGGCAGAAAATGTATAATTTATTTCTCTGTCCAGAAGCTAAGATAAATATTAGTAAAAGAATAGCAAAATAAAACCTATCCATTTATATATTCTTCAACTTTATCTTGAAAATTGCTGCTCATATGAAAAAGTTGAAAGAATGAACACCCATATACCCCTTTTAGATTCAGAGTTGTTAACAATTTGACATTTATTTTTCTGTATATTTTATGTTGTACCATTGAGAATATGTTTTAGACACCAGGATACTTTCCCCTTTATTACATCAGTGTGTATCTCCCAAACATAAAGACAACTTCATATATAGCCATAGTACCATAATTACCCTTAAGGAAATTCTCCATAATTCCACAGTATCTATCTCATCAGTTTCTTCATTGGCCTCTAAGATGCCATTTACAGGGGTTCATCTTCTAAGTAGAATGCATTCCGGATTCTGTACTGTATTTGGTTGTTAGCGCTCTTTATTCTTTTTTATTTTTTTTTAAGATTTATTTATTTGAGAGAGCGAGAATGAGAGAGAGAGTGTACATGAGAGGGAGGAGGGTCAGAGGGAGAAGCAGACTCCCCACTGAGCAGGGAGCCCAATGCGGGACTTGATCCCGGGACTCCAGGATCATGACCTGAGCCAAAGGCAGTCGCTTAACCAACTGAGCCACCCAGGCGCCCCATCTTTATTCTTTTTTAGTCTACAACAGTGACTCACAATTTCTTGGGTATCAGAATCATCTGTGGATCTTAGTAAAAATACAAAGGTCCAGGCCCACTGAACCTCTGTGTTTGTTTTAGCTTTCCAGGGGATTTTGGTACGCACTGTAGAGCGCCACGAATCTAGAACATTTCTTCTTTTTCAAAAATTCTTAAATAATGTTGACTTTTTGAGACGTCCAGGAAAATTGTCTGCCATTTGTTTAGATTTTATATTTCTGTATGGTGTCATTTAGCCACCTTCTATCCTTTGTATTTTCTGTACAAAGGAGACTGGGGGGAGGGGTTGCCTGGGTGTCTTAGGTGATGATCTCAGGGTCCTGGGATCGAGCCCTGCATTGGGCTCCTTGCTCAGCGGGGAGCCTGCTTCTCCCTCTCCCTCTGCCTGCCACTCCCCCTGCGTGTGCTCTCTCTCTCTCTGTCAAATAAATGAAATCTTTAAAAACAAAACAAAGGAAATTGAGTCTAGAGGCTCCATTAGGTTCAGATTAAATGTTTTAATGGGAGAATACTTTGTAGGTTATGTTTGTATGTCATATTGCAACAAGTCAGAAAGCATGTAAGGACAGGTCATTGCTTTGTTAGTAAAACTAAGTTTGATCATTTGGATAAGATGATACTATTGTAAAGATCTCCACTGTAAAGATCTGTGGAGAGACTGTCACCTCTTTGAAAATTTATAATCAAGTGTATTTAAATCCTGAATCAATAGAAAATTAAAAAATGAAATTGACTTGGGGCGCCTGGGTAGCTCAGTCGTTAAGCGTCTGCCTTCGGCTCAGGTCATGATCCCAGGGTCCTGGGATCGAACCCCGCATTGGGCTCCCTGCTCGGCGGGAAGCCTGCTTCTCCCTCTCCCGCTCCCCCTGCTTGTGTTCCCTCTCTCGCTGTGTCTTTCTCTATCAAATAAATAAATAAAATCTTTTAAAAAATTTAAAAAAAAAAGAAATTGACTTTTCAGGAATGAATTGCATTAAAATGCAAACATGATTGAACTTGTGGAATGTGGCTGGAGCTAAACTCTGTACAGAATTAATATCCTTAAGAAAGATAGGATATAAGATATAAGAAACCAAGATTGCTTTGACCAGAACCTTCTTTTGTTGTTCAGCACTTTGTCCCCTGTACCTTTATTGTGTCTGGCACATGAGAAATTGATAAACCTTAGGGGAAAAAAAATTGAACCTTCTGGTCAGGAAGCTTTAAGACAAAACAGAATAAACCCTAAGCTAATATAAGGATCAGGACAGTAAAAATGAGGATTAATTTGTATTTCCCTGATGCCAAGAGATGTTGAGCATTTTTTCATGTGGCTGTTGGCCATTTGTATGTCTTTGGAGAATCGTCTGTTCATGTCTTCTGCCCATTTCTTGACTGGATTTTTTGTTTTTTTGGGTGTTGAGTTTGATAACTTCTTTTTTTGTTGCTGTTAAGATTTTATTTATTTATATGACAGAGAGAGAACCAAGCACAAGCAGGGGGAAAGGCAGAGGGAGAAGCAGGCTTCCTGCCGAGCAAGGAGCCTGATGCAGGATTTGATCCCAGGACCCTGGGATCATGACCTGAGCCGAAGGCAGATGCTTAACTGGCTGAACCACCCAGGTGCCCCTGAGTTTGATAACTTCTTTTTAGATTTTGGATACTAGCCCTTTATTTGATTTTATCTTATTTTTTATGGCTGAATAATATTCCATATTATATATAATATTCCATATAAATATTCCAATATAAAATACACACCACATTTTCCTTATCCCTTCATCTGTTGATGGATGCTTAGATTATTTCCATTTCTTGGCTATTGTAAATAATGCTGCAATGCACATGAGGGTGCTGATATCTCTTAAAGATAGTGATTTCATTTTTTATTTTTTGGACATATAGCCAGAAGTGGGATTGCTGGGTTATATGGTAGTGTGTATTTTTAATTTTTTGAAGAACCTCCATACTGTTTTCCATAGTGGCTGCACTAATTTATATTCCCACCAATTGTGTACAAGGGTACTCTTTACCTCCTTACCAGCTCTTGTTATTTCTTGTCTTTCTGATTACAGCCATTCTTTTTTTTTTTTTTGAAGATTTTATTTATTTATTTGAGAGAGAGAGAGTGAGACAGAGAGCACGAGAGGGAAGAGGGCAGAGGGAGAAGCAGACCCCCCGCTGAGCAGGGAGCCCGATGTGGGACTCGATCCCGGGACTCCAGGATCATGACCTGAGCCGAAGGCAGTTGCTTAACCAACTGAGCCACCCAGGCGCCCTGATTACAGCCATTCTAATAGGTGTGAGGTGATATCTCAGTGTGGTTTCAATATGCATTTCCCTGATGATTAGTGATATTGAGCACCTTTTCATGTACCTGTTGGCCATTTGAATATCTGTGGAAAAATGTCTTCAGGTTCTTTACCAGTTTTTAAATTAGATTATCTGGGAGTTGTTTGTTTGTTTTGCTATTGAGTTTTATGATTTCATACCAACCTCTTATCCAGTACATACTGGCTTGTGATATTTTCTCCCTCCATATGTTGCCTTTTCATTTTTTTATCTCATTTATTTTTCTGTGCAGAAGTTTTTAGTTTGATATAGTCCCAGTTATTTATTTTTGCTTTTGTTACTGGTGCTCTATGTGTCATAGGCAAAAAAAAAATCATTGCCAGAACTTTTTGCCTGTGTTTTCTTCTGGGAGCCTTATGTTTTCATGTCTTACATTTATTTAAGTCTTTAATCCATTTTGAGCTAATTGTTGTGAGTAGTATAAGAGGGGAGTCTAGTTTTATTCTTTTGCATGTGAATATCCAGTTCCCCAGCACCATTTATTGAAGAGACTGTCTTTATTGAGCATTCTTGGCTCTCTTTTCAAATATTAATTGACCATGAATGTATGGGTTTATTTCTGGGCTCTCAATTCTGTCCCATTGATCTATGTGCCTGGTTTTATGCTGATACCATACTCTTTTGATTCCTATAGCTTTGTAATATGGTTTGAAATGGGGAAATGTCTCTAGCCTTGTTCTTCTGTGTCAGGATGGCTTTGGCTCTTCCAAGTCTTTGGGTTTAAAGTCTATTTTGTCTGATATTAGTATAGTCACACTTGCTCTTTTGGTACTTTTTGCATGGAATTTTTTTTCTTTTTTCTGATACTTTCAACCTGTTTGTGTCTTTGGATCTTATGAAGATGGATCATGTGTTTTTATCCGTTCTGCCAATCACTGTCTTTTGACTGGAAGAACTTAATCCATTTACACTTAAAGTAATTACTGATAAGGAGGGACTTCTATCATTGTGTTATTTGCTTTCTATATGCTTTATGGATTTTTTTCATCCCTCATTTCCTACATTACTGGCTTTTGTGTTTAGGTTTTTTGGGTTTTTTTGGTATGGAAATGTTTAAGTTTTTTTCTCATTTCCCTTTGTGTATATTTTCTTTGTAGTTACCATGTGGATTATATTTAACATCCTAATTTGAATTTATACCAGCTTAATTTCAGTAACATACAAAAACTGCACCTTTACAGCTCTGTATCCACCTCTTTTGGCTGTTAATGTCACATAATTATGTCTTCATACATTGTGTGTCCCAAAACAAGCTAATAGTCTTTTAAATGCATTAGTCTCTAAAAGAGACTAATTTGTTTCTTAATGTAGAAAACAAGATTTAGAGTAACAAACCAAAGTTACAGTAATATTAGATGTCCTGTTACTCCCAGCCTATTGATGATGTTGTTGGCTAAGAATGCCTGAGGCATGGGGCACCTGGGTGGCTCAGTTGGTTTGGTGTTCAACTCCTGATTTTGGCTCAGGTCATGATCTCAGGGTTGTGAGACTGAGCCCCAAATTAGGCTCTGCACTGGGCATGGAGCCTACTTAAGATTCTCTCTCTCCCTCTCCCTCTGTCTCTCCCTGCTTGTTCTCTCTCTCTCTCTCAGGGGGAAAAAAAAAAAAAGGAATGCCTGAGACACTTGCTCAAGCCCATAGTCCTTGTAGCAAGCCCTCACAGACATTTCCCCCACTGGGACCAAAGTTGTGGCTGGATCAGCCCCCGTGGTTCTTACGATTTCAAGATATACCTCAGCAATGACCATCAGAGAACTTCGAAGAACAGGCATTATTACAGATCCTCTAAGACCCATGGTACATCCAAGGGCCGCACAGTGAGGTTGCAGGTATAGGGAGAGAGAGTGCAGACCTGGGGCTCTGCCTTTATTAGGAACTGAGGGTGGGGTGTCTAGGGTTTCACAATTTCACTCCTTATTGGCTAATTTAAAGCCTGAGTGGGAATTAAGGTACTGGAAGGGAGAAGCAAGGTTACTCAAGTGATCAATTATCTAGGTTACCCAGGGCTTTCTGAAACAAGGAGCTTCATGAGTGAGGGTGACCTAATTCCTTCTCTGGTTGTTTTGCTAGTAGTTGTGTCAAACAGTTGGCAATATGTCTATTCAAGATGGATTTCTTTTGAAATGGATGCCTCAGTGACCAAAATATTAATATCAGGTACTTACACTATTACCAAAAAACTTAATGTCAGCACTTATTACTGTGCTAGCTTTTACACGAATTGTTTTTTCTTTAAATGTATTAAGCTTTTAAATCACATAAAAAGCAAAAGGTACTACAAACCATTGTTTACTGGTTTGTCCAATTGCTCATGTATTTACCTTTATTGAGATCTTTATTTCTCTATATAGCTTGTGTTACTGTCTAGTGTCTTCATTTCACCTTGCAAGACTCCCTTGAACATTTCTTGCAGGCTAGGTCTAGCAAGCACCAAGTCCTTTGGCTTTTGTTGATCTGGGAATGTCTTAATTTCACTGTCAATTTTGAAGGGCAGGTTTTTCTGGATATAGGATTCTTGGTTTAAAGTTTTTTTCCTTTGGCATTTTGCATATATTGATCCACTGTCTTCTGGCCTCCAGAATTTCTGCTGAGAAATCTGGTAATCTTATTGAGTATCACTTGTATGTAATGATTCACTTCTCTCATCACTTTCAAGGTTCTCTTTGTCTTTTGAAAGTTTGTAATGTGTCTTGTGGATCTCTTTTTATCAATTATTTTTTAAATTGAAGTGTAGTTGACACAGGTATGGATCTCTTTGACTTAATTTTATATGGAGTTTGTTGTGCTTCTTGGATGTTTATTTTATGTCTTTAGTTGAATTTGGGATGTTTTCAGCATTATTTCTTCAAATAATTTCTTCAAATTTCTTCTGCCTTTTTCCCTCCCTCTCTTTTCTCCTTCTTGGACTCCCATGATGCATATGTTGGTCCACTTGATGGTATCCCAGAGGTCCTTTAAGCTGTTTGCTTTTCCTTAATATTGTTTTCTTTCTGTTCCTCATACTCAGTAATTTTCATTGTTCTATATTCAAGTTCTCTGAGGCTTTCTTCTGCTTGCTCAAGTCTGCCTTTGGATCCCTCTAGTGAATTTTTCATTTCAGTACTTTTCAGCTCCAGAATTTCTTTTGTCTTTTTTAGATTTCCATCTCTTTATTGATATTCCATTTTGTTCTCACATTATTTTCTTGACTTTCTCCATATTTTCCTTTAGTTCTTTGAGCATCTTTAAGGCAGTTATTTTAAAGTCTTTGTCTAGTATATCTGCCATTAGTTATTTTTCAGGGATAATTTCTGTTGATTAATTTGTATTTTCTTTGAATGCCTTTTGATTTTGATATTGTTGTTTAAACTGGCCATTTGAATCTAATAAATGTGGTAACTCTGGAAATCAGATTCTCTCCCTTCCCCAGGGTTTGCTGTTTTGTTTTGTTTTGGAGGTTATTTGTTTATTTTTGGTTTTTGGTTTTGGTATTGGTTTTTGATTGTTGTAGGCCATCTCTGTTCCAGGGATAAGTTTGAAGTTTAGATCAGAAAAGATCTAAGACCTTATGTTCCACTTCCAGATCATAGAGTAAAAAGGTATCTCTGCAGACCCATTCCCAAGTAAAAGAAGTAAAGCTGGAAAGTAAAATTTAAAATCCCACAACAACTAAACATTTAAAGTTTGAAACATCGTAAGGGCATACAGCAAGTGAAATATTTATCAAAAAATTTACTGAAACTTGGAAAGAACAGTGAGAACCTGGCATTTAAAATATGACCTGTTCCCTCCTCCACTCTGCAGCTTCCCTTGATAGAAGCTTCATTGTAGGTAGGTGTGACCAAGAAGATGGAGCTCCCTCTCCCTCCAGCTCCCAATCAAGGGTTACCATATCTCAAAGGGAGGGGGAGGCTGCAAGTGTTTCTCATCCTTACCAACTCAGTTGAAGAGGCTAAATGCCTGATGAGTATGGTTGAGTAGTTTGGGACTTCCTCCACCAGCCCCTACCCTACATAGATGGGATACTCTACTCAGGTATAGGGAGCCCAGAATACTGGGACCCTGATTGTCCTCATCTCAGCTCACATTTAGGACAGATTCCACACCAAGAGAGGCAGGATGAGAGTAGAGGCTACCACCAAGTACAATGCCCAGAATAGTGGTTCAGAGATTTTTGCCCAGAGGGAGTAGCAGTCTATAAGAAAAGAGCTCTGAAGCTCTCTCCGAAAGAACTGATTTTATTTGAAACAATATGGGAAAATTCAAGGCTGAGGGCAATGTTAAAGCAAATAGTTCCTCTGAATTAAAAATAATAACTGAAACCGTAGGATAGCTATTTTATCATACACACCTGAGGAATGAGCTAATAATTTCTATATATTTTAAGGCCAACAGTACAATTACATAAATATTTTTCCATACAACTTTTTAAATCTCCTAGGAAGAAATATGAAGCTATACTGTATTATGATTACTTCTACTACTTTTTATTTGGTTTTGAATTTCTGTCCAGAATTACTTCATTTCAACTTGAAGAACATTCTTCAGTATTTCTTTTAAGGTAAGCCAGGTAGGAATGAATTCTGTCATTTTTTATTTCCTGGGAATATCTATTTTACCATCTTTTTTTTTTTTTTTTTTTTTGAGAGGGAGAGGGTTAGGGGTGGGGCAGAGGGAGAGAATCTTTTTTTTTTTTAAAGATTTTATTTATTTATTTGAGAGAGAGAGAGAGAGCACATGAGAGGGGGGAGGGTCAGAGGGAGAAGCAGACTCCCTGCCGAGCAGGGAGCCCAATGCGGGACTCGATCCCGGGACTCCAGGATCATGACCTGAGCCGAAGGCAGTCGCTTAACCAACTGAGCCACCCAGGTGCCCCGAGAGGGAGAGAATCTTAAGCAGACTCCACACCCAGCATGGAGCCCAACACAGGGCTTGATCTCACAACCCCAAGATCATGACCTGAGCCAAAAACAAGAGTTGGATGCTTAACCAACTGAGCCACCCAGGCGCCCCAGCATCATTTTTGAAAGATAATTTTGCTGGTTATAAGATTGGTTGGTAGGGTTTTTCCTTTTGAGCAATTTGAATACGTTATCCCACTGCCTATGTCCTCCATTGTTTCTGATGAGAAGCATGCTGTTAATCTTACTGAGGTATTCTTGTGAGTAATACATTGATTTCCTCTTGCTGCTTTCAAGATACTCTCTTTGTCTTTAATTTTCAGCATTTTTACCATGATGTATCTGTTTGTGGGTGTCTGCACGCATCCTGCTGGGAGTTTGTTGAGCTTCTGGTATGTATAGATTAATGCTTGTCAAAAAATTGGGGATGGTTTGGGGTGCCTGGGTGGCTCAGTTAAATGTCTGACTCTTGGTTTTGGCTTGGGTCATGGTCTTGGGGTCCTGAGATCAAGCCCCCGTGTTGGGCTCCATGCTCAGTGCAGAGTCTGCTTATCCCTCCTCTCTCGCTCTCTCTCTCATAAATAAAATTCTTTTAAAAATTGGGGATGGGGGGCGCCTGGGTGGCTCAGTCATTAAGCGTCTGCCTTCGGCTCAGATCATGATCCCAGGGTCCTGGGATCAAGCCCTGCATTGGGCTCCCTGAATGGCAGGAAACCTGCTTCTCTCTCTCCCACTCCCCCTGCTTGTGTTCCCTCTCTCACTGTGTCTCTGTCTGTCAAATAAATAAATAAAATGTTTTTTAAAAATTGGGGATGGTTTTAACCATTATTTCTTTAAATATTTTTCCTCCTCATTTCTTTTTTCTCTCCTCCTGGTTTTCTCATTAAACATATGTTGATGCATCTAAAGATGTTCCAAATTTATCTGAGTCTGTCTATTTTCCTTCATTCTGTTTTCTCTGTTCTTCAGATTGTATAATATCTATTTATCTATCTTCACGTTTTCTGATTCTTCTGCCAACTCAAATCTACTGGTTAGCTCTTATGATTTTTTTTTTTATATTAGTTATGGCATTCTTCAACTCCAGAATTGCCATTTGGTTCTTTTTATTATTTCTATCTCTTTATTGATATTCTCTACTTGATGAAACATTGTCTTCATATCTTCCTTTGTTCTTGTCCCTTTTTCTTGCCAAAAAATGGATATATTAGGTAACATATCATCGCAATTCTGAATATCAATCCCTCCTCCCACCCGCAGACTTGCTTTTGTTGTTTTTTGCTTAATTTGTTTTGTGTTTTGACTAGGCTATTTTAGTGAAATCCATTTCCCTTTGCAATGTGAAGCATTTAGTGTTGTGCTTGGGTGTGTTCTCAGTCACCTAGGATGACAGGAGTCTCCAACTATCCTTTCCCTTGATCTCTTTGTGAAGCAATCTGCCTCATTTGGTACTATTTCCAGCTCATTAGGCTCCACTGATTTCCTGCTGATTGCTCTGCTGTTTTCAACAATTTCTTGGAGGCGTAAATTGCTCAGTCTGATCCAATTTAATTCTGGAAGGACTGGTTTTTAAGGTCAATCTCTGAGGTGTGTTTTGATCTCAGGATTTGTAGCATATATAGATACGTATAAAAATAAAAGCACAGAAAGTGAGAGGATGGAATGGAACTATATAGGAGTAACATTTATATAAGTCAATGGAATTTAAGTTGCTATAATTCTGAAGTCAATTCTACATTAAGATGTATATGGTATGCAGGGCACCTGGGTGGCTCAGTCGTTTAAGCATCTGCCTTCATGAAGCTCAGGTCATGATCTCAGGGTTCTGGGATCAAGCCCTGCATTGGGCTTCCTGCTCAGTAGGGAGTCTGCTTCTCTCTCTGCCTTTGCTCCCCCAACCCCCATGCTTGCTCTCTTGCTCTCTCTCAAATAAATAAAAATCTTTTAAAAAGATATATATGGTATGCTTTAAAGAATCTATTAAGAAAGTAACTTTAAAAATAGTGAATGAGTGCTTGCTTCAGCAGCACATATTCTAAAATTGGAAGAATACAGAGAAGATTAGCAAGGCCCCTATGCAAAGATGACACACAAATTCATGAAGCATTCCATATTTTTTTTAACTATAAAGAACAAACTGAGGGTTACTGGAGGGAAGGTGGGTGTGGGGGGCTGGGTTAAATAGGTGATGGGTTAATAGGACACTTGTGATGAGCACCAGGTGTTGTATGTAAGTGATGAATCACTAAATTCTACACCTGAAACTAATATTACACTGTATGTTAACTGGAATTTAAGTAAAAACTTGAAAAAATATATATATAGTGAATGAGAAGAGAATCAAAACGTGTCACTATAAAAAAATCAACTAAACACAAAGGAAGGCAATAATGGAGAAAAGGAGGGATAATAAAGCTATAAGATATAGGAAACAACAAAATAGCAAAGTAAGTCATTATCAGTAATTGCTTTAAATGTAAAGGGATTAAATTCCCCAACCAAAAGACTTAGATTGGCAGAATGGATATAAAACAAAACAGAATCCAACTATTAGCTGTCTACAAGAGACTCACTTTAGATCCAAGACACATGGGTTAAAAATGAAATGATTGGGAAAGATATGCAAATAATTACCAAGATAGAGCAGGAATTGACTATACTAATACACAAAATAGACTAAAAACTGTTACAAGAGACAAAGAAGGACATTATATAATATATTGATAACAAGGTCAATATACCAAGAAGATCTATCGATTACAAACACATATGTGGCAAACATCAGAGCTCTGAAGTATATGAAGCAAATGTTGACAGAGAGGGAGAGACTTCAGCACCCTACTTTCAATAATATATAGAACAACCAGACAGGTGATCAATAAGAAAATAGAAGACTTGAGCAATACTGTAGACCAGTTGGGCCTGACAGATATACAGAACACTCCACCCAACAATAGAATACATTTGTGTCAAGTGCATGTGGAATATTCTTCAGGATAAACTATATGTTTATTTTTAAGATTTTATTTATTTGACAGAGAGAGAGAGCAAGTAGGCAGAAGGAGAGGGAGAAGCAGGCTCCATGCTGTGCAAGGAGTCCGATGTGGGGCTCGATCCCAGGACCCTGGGATCATGACCTGAGCCGAAGGCAGATGCTTAACTGACTGAGCCACCCAGGCACCCCAGGATAGACCATAGAACTAGTTAATACTTGTTAAGCCACAGAACAAATATTAATAAATTTTAAAAGATTGAAACTAGAATTCAGTAGCAGGAAAACTGGAAAATCAACAAATATGTGAAAATTAATCAGTACACTCTTAACTAATAAGTTAAAGAAGAAATCACAAGGGAAATTAGAAAATATCTTGAGACAAATGAAAACAAAAACACAAACTACCAAAACTTGTGACATGCAACAGAAGCAGTACTAGAGGGAAATTTATAGCAGTAAATGTCTATATTAAGATTTCAGGGGCGCCTGGGTGGCTCAGTCATTAAGTGTCTGCCTTCGGCTCAGGTCATGATCCCAGTGTCCTGGGATCAAGCCCTGCATCAGGCTCCCTGCTCCGCGGGAAGCCTGCTCCTCCCTCTCCCACTCCCCCTGCTTGTGTCCCTCTCTCGCTGTCTCTCTCTGACAAATAAATAAAATCTTAAAAAAAAAAAAAAAAGATTTCAAATCCACAACTGAACTTTACTCCTGAAAGAACTAGAAGAGAAAAACTAAACCCATAGGTGCTAGAAGGAAAGAAATAATCTAGATCAGAATAGAGAAATAAAATAGGAGATAGAAAAACAGTAGGGACAATTAATGAAATAGTAGAGGAAATTCATGAAACCAAGAGTTGTTTCTCCAAAAAAATAACATATTAACAAATCATTAGCTAGGCTGACTAAAAGGAGAGAAGACTCAAATAACTACATTAGAAATGAAAGAGATGGAGTTTCCTCAAAATGTTAAAAATAGAACTCTGGAAAACAGTATGGAGGTTCCTCAAGACGTTAAAAATAGAGTTATCCTATGACCAAGCAATTGCACTACTGAGTATTTACCCCAAAGATACAGATGTAGTGAAAAGAAGGGGCACATGGACCCCAATATTCCTAGCAGCAATGTCCACAATAGCCAAACTGTGGAAGGAGCCAACATGTCCTTCAACATGATGAGTGGATGAGTGGATAAAGATGTGGTTCATATATACAATGGAATATTACTCAGCCATCAGAAAGGATGAATACCTACCAGAACAGGAGGGGATTATGCTAAGTGAAATAAGCAGAGAAAGACAATTATCATATGGTTTCACTTATATGTGGAATATAACGAATAGCACAGAGGACCATAAGGGAAGCGAGGGAAAACTGAGTGGGAAGAAATCAGAGAGGGAGACAAACCATGAGAGACTCTCGACTCTGGGAAACAAACAGGGTTACAGAGGGGAGGGAGGTGGGGGGATGGGGTAATCAGGTGATGGGTATTGAGGTCACGTGATGTGATAGGCACTGGGTGTTATATGCAACTAAGGAATCGTTGAACACTACATCAAAAACTAATGATGTACTATATGTTGGCTAGCTGAACATAATTAAAAAAATAATTTTCTAGTATACTATAAAAAATTTCAATATTTACTAAGGATGTTTTTGTAGTAAAACTTATTCATTGTTTATGTGAAATTAAAAAAAAAAAAGATTCAAAGGGATACATGCACCCTGATGTTTATAGCAGCATTATCAACAATAACCCAACTATGGGGAGAGCCCAAGTGCACATTGACTGATGAATGGATAAAGATGATATGGGGTGTGTGTGTGTGTGTGTGTGTACACATACATGCAATGGAATAATTACTCAGCCATGAAAAAGAATGAAATCTTATCAAAAACTAATGATGTAATGAATGGTGAATAACAACATGATAAAATTAAAAAAATAAAAACCCATGACCTTTAAAAAAAAAAAAAGAATGAAATCTTGCCATTTGCAACTATATGGATGGAGCTAGAGAGTATAATGCTAAGTGAAATAAGTCAGAGAAAGACAAATACCATATGATCTCACTCATATGTGGAACTTAAAGAAGACAGATGAATATATGGGAAGGGGGAAAGAAAAAAAGGAGAGAGAGAAACAAGCCATAAGAGACTCTACGGTAGAGAACAAACTGAGGGTTGATGGAGGGGAGGTGAGTGGGGGATGGACTAGATGGGTGATGAGCCCTTTTTTTTTTTTTTAAAGATTTTATTTATTTATTTGAGAGAGAGAGAATGAGAGACAGAGAGCATGAGAGGGAGGAGAGTCAGAGGGAGAAGCA